TGTAATTACTTAATTACAATTCTCCAGGCCACAGATGTAGAGGTCTCTATAAAAAATATGCAGATGATCAATTTTAAGAAGATATAAGTAACATCGCTTTGGAAAGATAATAAAAACTACTTATAGACAGGTTATGTCCAGTACACACGCAACTCGGTACCAATAGATTTCGAGTAAGGTCCAATAATATTAAAATGTTATTTATTTTATTTATTTAAGTAATAGGCTATTAAAGCACTCCGACCTAAAAGATCTATTGTGCGTCTAAAGGCCCAACTAGGACAATTTTAGACTATTTATAAATCTTGTAATTGTTGTGGGCTTAATTTTACCTATTTTACCTATATTATCTAATATCCCGCTTCCAAGGTAATCGAGTCTACGTCTTGCCACCGCTGGCCAGTTGCATAGAACATGTTCTGATGTTTCCTTCTCCTCATGACAGAGTCGACAGGAGTCACTTTCTACCACACCTATAATCTTTATGTGGTAATTAAGTCTACAGTGTTCTGTAAGAAGTTCAGTGTGGATTTTAATATCGTTTCTGCTAAGGCCAAGGATAGCATCAACTTTGATGTGATCAGGATCAATGAATCTTTATGTTATTTAGTTGTATATATTAAAATTTCCCTTATATGTATACTAAACATAGCAGTATGTTTTATAATATTAAACTAAAATTCTTTTCTATTATAAAATTTAAAAAAAAATCGCTTACTTTCACTAATTAATTAAAATTATTTTATCTAATAAATAATAAAACTGCAAATGCAAAAATAAAATAAAAAAAGAACTGATACTGACACTGTTTGTACGAGTGTATATTTTCAATGGTCCACCTACGCCTTGAAATGCACGTTTCTCCAAAGGGAAAATCGAACGCCCACTTTTTACTCACTTTAATAATAACTCAACTCTACTGAAGGGAACAACAGCAATAATAACAGCAGCAACAACAACAACAACAAAAATAAATGACAAATAAATTCAATTCAAAGTGGCGCCAGATGTATATGAGATTTCGGTATCACAAGAGAGGAGCAACAAAAAATTGCAAAAAAAAAGAAAAACCAACAAAAAATGGATAAAGTAAAAATTACGCATTTTCACTTACGTGGGTAGATTGCTGCTTCCTGACCCTACCACAATGGCACAAATACTATCACACAATCAACTTATGAATGAAAAGCTTCACGCCAACGCCATTTTTGAAAAGCTTCCCAGATTGTAAATTTTTTTATGAATTATTTTGTTATTGTGTTGTGCTCCACAGTGCCTTGCTTTGCTTTCTCGTTTTTGTTTTTGTTTTTGGTTTTGTTTTTGTGTTCTTTTTGCATAGGGCGTCGTCACATTGCTTGCCTGCACGTGTAGTTTGAGTAATTTTTTGTTTACTGTACGCTGTGTGCTGTGTGCTGTGCGCTGTGGAGAGTAACAATTTTGATATTGTTATCGTTGTTGTTGTTGTTCGTGTTAGTGTAGTGTTAGTTTTTGTATTTGTAGTTTTTCCTTGCTCTCTTGGGTTTTCATTAAAGTTACTTGATTGTGGTGTAAATCGGGTAAGAGTTGTGAAAATGTGTAAATTCAGCTCACGCCGTTTCGTTGACGATTTTGTAGGCATATGTGTATTGATTTACCGTTATATTGTGTATAGCCAGGAAAAACTCTACAAATGACAATAACCTTGAAGTGCACATATTTGTGTGATTGTAGATATGTTTAACACAATGTATATGATAAGTTTGTGTGTGTGTAAAGCAAATATGTATCATAAGGGAAAATTACATAAAAGGTTGATTGTAGGTGTTTATAGAAGTAAAAGAAAATGTTTGATTGTTACATTTGCAAAGTTCCATTAAAAAAAAAAATTATTTTTCTATTTAGTAATTAAAAATGACAATTCTTTTAACTTACACGGAGAATGTACATATTAATCAGTAAAAGTGGCTGAGAGTAGATTTCATCACCAAATCTTTAAACAATAACATAAAATCATTATAATTTTATAAAATCTAAAAAATATTATTTAATTTTTAGCACAAAGTTAGGTCGTCTATTTGTAGCTAGCCTCGGTCTTCCCTGTGGTATCTCTTACAACGAATGTCTACCAACTCTCGAAGAAAGAACACCAGAACTTCTGTTCTATCTTTGTTCAGACTTGGCTAGAATGAGGCTTAGGTTCTTGGGGGACTCCTTCTTTTTAACACACTCAGCGATATCATCTCAAGTATTAGTATTGCCCAAACTCTCAGCAGGTCTGGAAAATTAAGTTCAACCCCGACAAGATCTCTACTACAGCCTTTCTAGGCCAGCAGTGAGATCGCCCCAGAGGTTTTGTTACCTCTAACATTAGGCTAAGGCTGAAGTATTCTCCCATTCAGCTTATTCCTAAGCTGAAATATCTTGGCATTGTCCTTTCTTCACAACATGATTTCATCCCTTACAACCGGATTAGGCACATTCAACTCAAAAATGCTCTTCGAAGGCACAACCAATTAGCTGCAAAGTTAAGCTGCTCTACTATAAACAACTTATTCGTCCCCTTCTCAACCACGCATTCCCCTTTTGGTCTGCAATCTCTTTCGCCCAAATGGAAAGAATCCGCCTATTTGAGCGGAAACTTCTTCGGGATTGCATCAACTACAAGCGCAAGCCTGTCGGCACGCATTTCCCCATCTCTGTTCTTTATGACAATGCCAAGATCAATAGTATCTTACCTGTTGAAAGTCTCCTCAATGCTGTAGAAATCTTCTCCATTCATTCCTAAGAGGTGGCTTTAGTGCTTCTGGCTGATTTTAATTCGACATTCTCCACTATTTCGTGGAATTGTAGATTCAAAACGGTTTTCTTAGCTAATTGAGCAGGATTCGTTTCTCCCTCCACTACAACAAACTGACTAACTAGGACGTCTATTTCCAACATCACCAGGTGAAATCTTAAATTTCCCAGTATAACTAAATAAATTAAATCTTTTGGGTTAGTTAAATATAAAACACTAAACTTAAGTGCATTTTGGAATCTAGAATATTCTATACAAAATACTCTTTACAAAAACAACTTTTTTTGTGGATTGGACAAAGCTCACTTTAGTTCCAAATGAAAAGAATACAAATCGTCGTTGTTTTTGTGCCACGTTATACCTGTTTTAATTCCTTATATTCGGAGGCAGAACGATAATTTTAACGTCAACAGCTTTAATTTCAATTACATCACTATTGCCGCCATTTAGTAGATTAGATTGCTCTGTTCAAAAACCAAGCATGCCTTGGATATCTATCACCAGATCACCATATTTATTATCACAAAAATTAACTTTAGGTTGATAATCATTTTCCAGGAATTTCATTTTTAGTAGAATTTTCGAACCATTTTCCTGTCCCCAGCTTCTTAAGGTCTTTGTATCTGATTGATTCCTTTATTTTCACTTAAAAAAACGTTTCCCCTCTTTTCTTTTCTCTTGACTTCTCTGCTATTCTCTTCCGTACTTTTCTATTTTCTTCTCTGCCCTTTTGCCGTTATTGTTTTTTAGCAGCGCACTTCGCCACGGACTGCAAGGTGGCTTGATTTGCTAAGTGTACTTCTGCAGTATTGTCTTGACAAACCCGATTGTATGTAAACATTCTTTGCCTATGATGATAGCCAACCACCTTCAGCTGTACGATAAGAGCAGCAGCTGAGGTACCACTGCGAACATGAATCCTTCAGATTCATTTACGAGGTCATTAAATGAGTCAAGGAGTAAAATCAGTGGCTGTCTAGTTTTCGTTGTGCTTTTCAAGTACCTTTTTTGTCGCACTTGAACGAATTTTGCGGATTTTTGCTGCAATAAAATACAGCTCCGGTCGATGTTGATCCCTCAGACAGCACGTATATTTAAGATAGTGGAAGCATGTTGTCATCTATCACAATATAATAAATTTGGGATCTTGTGTTTTGATTAAGGGACCGCTATATTGTTGTATGTATGTCGAAATGCTAGATTTAGTTAGTTTTCCTCCATTATAATGTTTGTTATACGAATTTTGACAAGTCTCTAATTGAATTGGACTAAAGGTTGTGACCAAGTTTATTAATCTTCGGTTTATCGCAAATCCGACTTCAAATTTGTGCTGTATATTTCTTAAGGTTGTAGATGCACTTTCTCTGTAAAGAATTGGAGATTCCAAGTGCATACTCTTAAATCATACTCCTTAAAACGTTTGTCGGTATCGTCAACAGTAAACGATATCCTTATCAGATGCTTCCTCTTTGTTTTTATTAGAAATTCTCTCTTTGCTTTTAAATGGTGTGTTCGAAGTCAGACATAATTATAACTATCTAATGGGATCCACATCAAGTGTGTTAACTTGATAGAAATAGTGATAAGGAACGTGCTGACATCATTTTGAACTAAATACACTGATATTTAAATACTAGAAACTATCTTAAGGGTTAACCTTTACTATGAAAGTTGTTTTTATGGACTTACTAGAACACTACAAAAATGTAATATAATCACTGTCTACCGCCCTATAGCGTTATCAAAAGCAATGATACCAATCAGAGAAATAATATGCACACAAACGATAATTTAATATAATTACTAGTTATAAATTCTATTAATGAATTAAATTATAATTTAATATTTTATGTGCGTGTAAACAAAACAAAGTATTATAAAAGTAAAAATAAAAAGCTTACGAAAAAACCATTCTCATAGGTTCAACTTATAATAAGTTTCATAATTATCAACTTATTATTTTATAATAGTTGAAAAGTTTATTATTCTTCTGCTAAAATTTCATTTAAATATATAGAATACATTTATGTTATAAAACATGATTTTCTAAAATAAAATGAAATAAATTTAAATTCAAACAACAATTAGTACTGTACTGCCATATCTACATACCTACATTCAACGCAGCTGTTGTCGATAAGTTAGCGCAAAGTGATAGCTGTCAAATTTCGTATTAAAAACAGCGAAATGTGCGCCAGACAATTGTGGCAACAACAAAGTAATTGAAAATAAATTATAATAGGTCATTTACTTTTACCTTTCTGTTTTTTGTCTAAATATTGAGTACATTTAAGTTCAGCGTCATTGTCTCAAATTGTCTCCAGACATTGTTTAGAGTCAATAACTTTTCATTTCAAAGAAAACATTGATAAAAATAAGTTATTTGTTTAGTTATTAAAAATTGTAAATCAAAATAGTGAAATGGAAGCAGAATTGAGATTGTCTGCTGAAAATGCGCAAGAGAAATCGGATTCCACATACACAGAAGCAAATGAAACCATAGAAGAGGAGTCACCGCCAAAAAAGCGACCAAAATGTGATGAAGAAACAACTGTAGCGCTAATAACACCCATTACTTCACTGAGAAAATTTAAGCGTATTCCAGTTTTTGTTGTTGATTATCACAATGATGTGTTGGATTTTATTTATCGTTGCTTGGCTGCACGTTTTCTTCCAATAGAAAATAATATATTAGTACATTTTGATTCACATCCTGACATGGTCATCTCACGCGATATACCAGCAAGTGCTTCCTTTGACAAAGAGACCATGCTAGCGGAATTGAGTATAGAAAATTGGATCATGCCTACATGTTATGCAGGTAAGTTTACAATGCTTATCATTTATGATATAATAATATATATAACTTTATTTTTATTATAAGGTCATTTTAATCGTATTATTTGGCTCAAAAATTCTTGGTGTCAACAAATACCTACAGGGAAGTATAGCTTTAAAATCGGAGACAAGGATGATAAAATTAGTGTGGACTGTCCACTGGAATATTTTATATCGGAAGGAAACTATTCGAACACGAATGAACTGCAAAATTCTCGCGATATGGAGCTACAAGTATATAATGCTGACACATCAGAACTGCAACCTACTGAATTTTTGAAAGAAGAAGATGCTAAAAATATTATACTTGACATTGATTTGGATTTCTTTAGCACTTCGAATCCATTTTTGGAAATATATAAAGATGCCAATTGTTATGAGCAATTAACTGATATCTTTCAATTCGACGTGAGCACAACAGATTGCGGTGGCACAACCGAACGCCGTAAGCAACAGCTCGAAGCGCTTAAGGAAATTTTTGAATATTTGGAAGAAAAACGTTCCTTTGAAGGTTTTAAGAAGTTCGTATCAGAAGTTATAACAATGGAAACATATACAAAAATAGAGAATCTTGTAGAATCATTGCAAAAATGCTATGCTGACGATGAGATTGACTGGCTGCTCATTTTTGATTCTGGTAGTACGACTGATACAAATGGTTTACCGCATCACGTGAGCACCGAGGAGGAATTGGAACAATATTATGCTCATTTTAAATTATTTTTAGAAAAATTACCTGTTGCGCCTGTTGCTATAACTATGGCTTGCTCAGCTGAGGATGACTATTGCCCCAAAAATCAAGTCAGCTTAATACAGGAGAGAGTTTTGAGCATATTGCAAGAAGTGTTCGGTGAACAAATTCACAAAAATCCCATATTGCAGTACTTAGACGATGAGTGGGATATTATGCAACTATAGTTTTTATTTAGCATAAGAAAGATCCAATATTAATAATATACGAGTTTTTTTATAAATGACATGCAGCATATCAATGTAACATAATTCTACACAAACGCAATCATTAATACATCGAATTTGGTGCTTCAGATTATAATTGAAAAGTGATCTAAATTGAATACAGTATTCATCACAGTAAAAAAGTAAATCCGTTAATGATTAAAAAAGTGGATTTGAATTAAAAAAGTCTTACAACTTCAAGTTGAATAACTTTATATACAGAACCAACGGTTTACACTCAGTCTACGACCAGGAGCTATATAATAGACCCTATTATTTAATAGACATGAACTACGTATGTAATTCAACCATGGTACTCAGTATCATTTACAATGAGTTAACCGGCAACGCAAATAATATAAGTATACATTATAAGACAATATTAAAATCTTACAATTCTTCTCGAAGTCTACGAATTGAATTTAAAAGCTGCAACCGTTCTTGCTCGTATAAAAGAAATTCCATTTAAAATGGCTTCTAGTGATAGATCATTATCTTTTTAATTTATAAAAATATGATTATGTTTATTCTTACTATATATAATATAATTATTTTATTACCAAATTACAATTTGTTACGAACGCAAGTTATTTTTACATATGAATGTATGCAGTACAGATGTACGCGAATTTACAATTAATAATAAATTATTTATATCCCTAAAATTACTTTTCTAACACAGTTCTTATACATAATGAGTACATTAATTGAAATGAATATACAATTATTTCAGAATTTTCTGGTTAAATTATATTTATATATTTTTCTGTTAACGTAAAGTTAAAATTCATTTTGTGTCTTAGAGTTAAGTATTTTTTAATCTCAACTCTAAATCCACAAAAAAAGTGTTTATAAGCTACTAAATTAAAATCCATGTAACCCATATATCTTTTCTATAGTGGAATCGGACATTCCATGTGCATATCCGTAAATCATGATCCTTAATTAGTTAGCTGTGAACGTGAAACATTCAGCGGGAGTCAGGTAATTATGTAAGGATACCACGTAGAGGCTGATCCCAGCGATCTACAACAACAACAATAACATAATACTACAATAACAAGTAGTATTATCCCTTTTGGAGGTGGTGAATGGCACTTGATCGTATATGTAGTCAAATTGGTCCGGAAAATCTGTTTTTAGGCTTTAAAGATAAATTTCAATGCATGTTGGGTTTATGGAAACATTTGAATGAGATATGATTATATCACATTCAATGAAACATCGATATAAATATCAATGCAAAGGCATTGAAATTAAGTCTAGAATCCAGCAGTTGTTATATAATATTATGAACATAATATATATGTTTTATAGAAAACAAAATTTATGATTTATATAAGAAACAATAATGAATGCTGTGATCAAAAGACATTACAGTTTCACAGATACGTAACAATTTCAGTACAAACCCTAATAAGATACACCAATTAATTGAGGCTTGATTACCAATGCCATGTCCTATAAAATGAGTCATAACTTATGTTGGAATTCACAGGAATTAGTTCTATAGTTATTAGAGAGGTTGTGTACTATAATCAAGTTTGATTTAAATCACATATGTATATATATTTGAGCATATATGTATATGTATGGAACTGACTTAAATAAATTGGTTTCTTGAAATGGCAATCGTGTCTACCATTTGAGAAAATCCATTTAAAAGTAGGTGTTGTGTTAATTAGTCTTATATAACTTATAAGACATAGGTTTATATAATTGGTTCGAAAGCATATTTCAATGCTGTTTTTGAGACAATATTATCACGATAATCTCTTGCTTACTTTGTAATTCTGAGATGCATAAATCATGTTAAAAAATTTAATTTGTACCAGGTATAATGCACAAATTAATTACTTTATTATGTGCCTAAATATTTTTCATATAAAATTAAAAACAAGTTACCAGCTGAATAGCATTATTTTTATTACTATATATATATATACATACTATATATAAAGTACATATTTTATAATTGTAAATGAGGTTGATTTTTATAGTATATTTCTTTTCATTCTACTGAAGTCCGCTCGGGTCAGTTTAGAGAGTTTAGATAAATGAATGGACTAGTGCTCAAGGACCTTTTAGGAATCGAGGTGATTATATCATTTTAGTAATAAATAATAAACCTCTAACTTAATCTGTAGAAACAAATCTGAGGTATCTGGGCTAATATCTGTCTTTACAGGATACTGGTCCATAGGACGGCATGGAGCTAGACTCGGCCAACCCTGTGGTACTTTTTGTAGTGCGTGTCTACCAGCTCTTGAGGAAATGACACCAGAACACCTGATGTGTCTTTGTCCAGGTCTGGCCAGTACTAGGTTTAAGTGTCTAAGGGCCCCTTTCTTCAATTCACTTGACGATATCTCCAGCATGCTGGCTAATGCTGAGCCAGATTCAGGCCTTTGTTAATGCCTCTGGTTGGTTCTAGTTTGACCTTCTATCTACTACTCATTATTACGAGGTTTTTGTGGATTCAAAACGGCTTTTTAACTAATTGAGGAGGACTCGTCCTCATTCCACCTTAACTAACTATATCTAACTTTATTAAACAATATCCTCACTTTTTCTTTGTAAGAAGCTCTAATATATAAGGTATCAAAGCTCTATACAATAGATATGTTCTGATAGTAGCGCGTTTCGGCCTCTGAAAAAAATTACAATATTAAAAAAATAAAAACAAATATTGGTTATATCATAACACTTTTTTTTTTATTAGTTGAATTTGAATATATACAAATATATATAACACATATTGATTTCAATTGTATATATAACTGTATATATAACACATTAACCAGCAAGATACATAAGAAGTACTGGATTCAATCTTTTGTCTCGTTCGGCACTATCGATATTATCGAGCGGATCGTTGCCTGTGGTATTTCCTTCGGTAGTAGCCGTCTCAGCCATTACGATGGTAGCATATAGAATCAAAATTGAAATCAAAACTAAAATATAATTATATTAATATTTATTGTAATACTATACATATATACTATATGTAATACTACAACACTTACAGATCAATTGTTTAATATTGAAATTCATGTTTTCTAGTTTCTTCAACGTTTGACCTCAAATGTAGAGAAATGTGATCATTTATCTCTTTATATAAGTAAATTCTTATCAATATTACAAATTTTTATTTATATAAATCGGTAAAAATTTTATCTTAAGAATTAATATTTGAAAAAACGTATTTAATTTAAATTTAAATATTTTGAGATAATATGCAGTCAAAATATGAAACGCTAATTTCTTAGACTATATTTGTTATTTAACTGTTGTCTCATTATATTTGACTATATCTTATAGATTTTATTTATGTATTCACACGTCAAATTAAAGCACGAGAAATAATTTGAACTAAGAAATCTGATAAAAAATATCGCAAAACTGCAGACGTACTTGCATAAAAATTATATTCATACACATTTATTATACTGATATATGAATATATATCTTAATGTGATGACTATATAATATTGTATATATGTAGTAATAACATTTTTTATTAAAATGTATTACAATATATATACATTTATTTACTTATTACTTTATATGAAAACTGTAAGATATACCTTTAGCATATTTGGCATACCTTCTGCTCAAAAAGTACTCGGATTTTGTAAATAAAACACATAAATTTAAATTTTATTCTAAATTTATTTTATCTCCTTCAAAATATGCTCTTTCTGAAGCGACACACATATGCCAACGCTTAACCCAATCTTCCATACACTTTTCGAAGGCCCGTGAAGGCCCGTTCCTTCAGCGAATTCTCTTTTACCGATTCAATTGACTCAAAACGCTTACCAAAGGAAAAAGTCGCACGGATCCAGATCTTGCGAATATGGTGCCTGAGCGATGACAGTGGTAAAAATCGCTAAATGCACTTGAGGTAGTCTCACATTAACAGCTGCTATAAACAAACTAATTGACAGATGGCGCTCAAATTTGTACCATATGTCAAGAAAGGGTGTACCAATATAACAAAAAAAAATTTTTGAAAAAAGTCTATTGCCTAAGGAGTAGTTAACAAACAACAAAATCCGGATACTATTTGAGGTATAACTTCCAAGATCGAATATCTTCTATGTAGCTTCTTTAATGTGGTTAATATATAAGGCAATGTGAAATCAGTTTCTAAACAAAACATATAGTTTGTCGTGTTTATGAGTAAATGACAGACACATTTTATATAGTTTGTTTGTAACTTCTCAAGTTCTTCATACCTTTCTATTCTAGTTCTAACTGCAATTTCAAACTCTTTGTGTTTCATAATAGAATATACGTCTTTGCCAACATCCTAAGAATTCACTCTATCTACTATTTACTACTACTTTACTTTCCTTTAAGATTTTCAACATATATTTACCTAAATTTATATTGTCTATTATCCATATACCTCTTACACTGTTTAATATAGTAGTCATCTAGTACGGCTCTTCATAAAACAATCCATTTTTTCGAACTTTGAGTCTTTTTGCATTTTTCTCGAACATCTTAAAATTGTAATTTGTTAATATTTATCTCGAAACTCCATATTTTGAAATATTCGTTCAACTTATTTATCAATAGTTGCAATATTTTTAGACTTTTCGACATTAGTTCATCTAGAAATGTGACAAACAGAAGTGGATTTTATCAACCTTTAGCGTCCTTGTGTCACTCCCATAATAATTGTGTAGGAAAGCTTGGTTCTAAATCTTTATTAAAAAGTTAAAGAATTGACTTATCTTCTCTATTCAGCAGCAGTGATGTTCAATTTTTTTGATAATACTTGTATCAACATCCTTTATTAATTATGGTACTGCAGCTTTCTAATAGCTTAATAGAGAAGCTGTAGCTTTCTCAAATCCATAAGGTTGTACCATAACGTTATAAGTTATCTTACCGTGTACATGTTGCTTTAGTAGTTTCGACTTCAAACTTGAAGTTAACTTAGATTTAACAACTCAAAAAGTTTAAGTTCTTTCTTAAACCTGTGGTCTTATTGTAGACTATATAAAATTTGACTATATTAATTATATCCAATTGCAAAGATTTTTTTAATGTTATATGGAAAAACAATTCTCCGAAGCAAAGTTTCACACTTCAGAAGTGCTGATCTGAAATCGCAGTGTACCAGATATTTAAAATGTTGATGGTCTACTAGGACTACTGTTCAGTTATGAGTTCACGGTTCTTACTGCTTGCCTTGAAGTTGGGTGACTGTTTGTATCGTTTACATATTTTTAGCAACGACCAATAAATCGGTTCATAATACTTGTGATATATTTTAATTATCTCTGTCATATTTTACAATTTTTACTTTATCTATATTTGTTGTAATTAATATATTAATACCTTTGATGGTAAATATTAAACTTCAAAATTACCTATTTATATAATATATGTATATAAATAAGCATATGTAGATGCTTAATTACGAATTAATGTGTAATCATTGATATTCTTATTCTTACCCAAGAAATACTAGGTTCAATGTATCTAGAAGCTGGTAAAAGTTCAATTGAGTTAAATAAATTGAATGTAAGAATTATAAATTGTATCGCAGAGATAATGTCACTTTTGGATTTCATTGCTCCCAAT